TCACCTCGGGCTGGATCCCCCCGCCCTGCCGCCATCCCGCTGGTGAACCCCACCTGTGCCGCATTCCTGCCCGGGTTTACCCAGTTTTAGCATCACAGGCCCCCAGGTGCCGGGTTACCCAAGCCAAGGCCCCGCTCCCACCCCTCCAGGTCGGACCTCTGCCAACATGGTCCAACCCCAGACGTCAAAAGCGGAGACCCCCGCCCCTGCAGCCGCTACCGGTGCCCAGATGGATGACGTCATCGACACCCTGACCTCCCTGCGCCTCACCAACTCGGCGCTTAGGCGGGAGGCCTCCACCCTGCGGGCCGAGAAGGCGAACCTCACCAACATGCTGGAGAGCGTGATGGCGGAGCTGACCCTGCTGCGCACCAGGGCTCGGATCCCGGGGGCGCTGCAGATCACCCCGCCCATCTCGGCCATGACCTCCAACGGCACCCGACCCATGACCACGCCGCCCACCTCTCTGCCCGAGCCTTTCTCCGGAGACCCGGGCCAGCTCGCGGGGTTCCTGATGCAGATGGACAGGTTCATGATCTTCCAGGCCTCGCGCTTCCCCGGCGAAGCCGAGCGGGTGGCGTTCCTGGTGTCGCGGCTGACGGGGGAGGCGGAGAAGTGGGCCATCCCGCACATGCAGCCCGACAGCCCCCTGCGAAACAACTACCAGGGCTTCCTGGCAGAGCTGCGGAGAACCTACAAGTCCCCGCTGCGGCACGCGCGGCGCGCGCAGATCAGGAAGACTTCCGCCTCCCATCGCGCGGTGCGGGAGCGGCAGGGGCTGTGCCGCCAGCTGGCCGCTGCGGGCACGGCCCCCTGCCCCGTGCACCCGGCCTCCAATGGGACTAGTCCAACGCCGGCCCTGCCCACCCGCTCTCGGAACCTTTAAGAGCCGCCACCGGCCTGGTTGCATTGGCAAATGCACTAGGTAGCCGGGCCCTTGGCTGCGCAGAAGTGTCCCTACAGCAGTGTCGTTCTTGTCGGAGACTCCCTGCCTGCCTCTCCAGACCTGTCCCTCTTCAGCCCCTTGGGCCCTGGCACCCCTCCCTTCCTAGTATGTGTGCTAGCGTGTCCCCAGCCTCGGTGCATGCTTCCCCTCATGCTTGCGACGCCAGCTCCTCCATGACCACAGCTCAGCTACCTGTCACAGGGCCTCCACTTCGTGCTCCGGCTCACCAACCCCTCCCAGCCTGAGTGCACCGATACTCCCGCTCCGGCCTCTGCAGACCCCACAGCCGCTCCCCACCTGGCGGCCGGTTCTCACTGACGGAAGGCACTGTGGCCAGGCTGGTGGGCACCTGGACAGGGGAGTCTGGCCTCCCACCATGAGTGGCCGCAGGCCTGCCAGGGCCCGTGTAGCAGGCAGGGCTGTCCTTGGTGGCCGAGTGGTCCCTGCTGGGAGTGTGGTTCTGGCACTTCTGGGGGCACGCTTCACTTTGCACTAGAATCGCCGTCTGTATGCCCCCTTGTTGCCACTGGGACGGACCGGAAATGCAGGTGGAGGAGGAACCTGGAGGATGCCCCTCCACGAATGCCTGGCTCGGCTGCCCGAGTTCCCGTGGCACCCGGTTCCCGGGGCCTGGAAGCTGCCGGCGGAAGAAGGAGAGTGGCTTGGACTGCTGGGCAGCTCCGTCAGCTGTCGCGCGCAGCACATCGTGCCTAGACCCCTGCAGGCTGAGGCTGGGCGCCGGGGGCTCATTCTGCCGCCCTGGACCTCTGGTGGGAATCGCCACAGCTGCTAGCGCAGTCCCCCCTCCTCTGTCCCATGTCACTTGTTCCCTTCACTCAGGTGACAAGTGGCCTTCAGCTCCGCCCCTCAGCTCACAGCATCTCCAGGTCTTCAGAGCCTCCCCAGGCCGGAGCTGTCCATCAGCTGTCCAGTCTTCGTCCAAGAAAACGGGCTCCTAGCTGGACCTCCTTCCTCGGGTGCATCTGGCAGGGGCCCTTGGCCCTGGTGACCCGGGCAGGGCCTTGGGGGACACCCCGTCCTCACTGACGGGCAGGCTGGCACTCATGTCGCAGTCCTGAGGGACAGCTGTGCCTCAGCGGGGGACGGCCTCGCGCTTCCTCACGGGGCGCCCAGAAATCACTTGCCAAATGGCCCTCGCCCAGGTCCTTTGGGTGGTGATGCTCCACCATGTTTGGATGCAGATGAACTACATTGACATTCGCACGGCCACCTGGACCGTGGGGGGCCATGGGGCGTCTTACCCTGGCTTCCTCTGCCCCTGCTCTGGCCTGGCTGCAGAACAGCCTCTGCACCCACCCAGAGACAGGTCTTGGGACACCCAGGCCGGGCCCTGGGCCCCCCGTACTTCCTCCGAGTTTTGGTGACGCCGGGAAAAGTGACCGCTCCTGACGCAGCCACTGCCGTGCCAGGCCAGGGCATTCAGTGGCTGCTGATGTTCGTGGTCATGGCCTCCACTCACCGTAAACTCCGTTAGCCCGTTGCCCTGCTAAACAACTGCCTGCATACAGGCCACAGGCCCCTGAGTCCGACCGCACGGCTCAGGGGATCATGGTGCTCTTAAGCATGATGGGGGGCCGCAGTGGAGCCCCGATTCCGGGGGTGGCACCTCTGAGGTGTGCCTGTCACTTTCTCAGTGCTCAGCTTTCTCCTGCCTGTCTGCCAGGTAGAGGCGGCCCCCGATGAGGGGGTACAGTGGCACCTGGGAAAAGGAAGCCCGCAGGGGTAACACACCTTGAAGGTTCCTGTGTGCCCGGCCCAGCCGGGGTAGGAGACGCAGCAGGGGAGCAGGGCGGGAACGCTGCTCTCTCAGCAACCCCGGGTCTGCCCGAGTGGTTTGTAGAAACCCTGTTGGCATGCTGTGCAAGTGCTGTCAGTCATACTGCTCACAGCAGGACGGGCCGTGGGCAGGGCCGCCACGCGGGCCGCCCCCAGCCATCACCGGGCCCTTTGTATGTGGGGTGTGCCCCACCCAGGCAGCTGCCAGGCCTCACTGGTTCCATTGCGTTGGGTCTCGGTGCTTGGGCCCGGTGCTGCCGCACCTCCGTGGCCCGGGCTGCTTCCTGCAGCTGTGGGAACGAGCAGGTGAGGGAGCTGGGGTCGCGCCCCCCCCCCCCCCCCCGCCCCCGGACTCAGAAGCAACCACACTGGGAGCCCACTGGCTCTAGGAGACACCCAGGCCCCAGCAAGAGAGGAGGGGACCCGCGCTCCAGGGGCCCAGGGCTGGGCCGCCCGCCGGCAGGCAGGTCACAGGCAGGTCACGTTGGAAGAAGTGGGGGGAAAGCTGCTTTGGACATGCTGTGGGTCAGACTTTCTCCAAATGGAAGGGAGCTGCACTGATTTGTTAAAGGGCCAGGCAGCTGGTGTTAGCCTGTGAGGGGCAGTGTTTTTCACGGTGACTGCTCTCTGGTCTCCGCGAGCCCCTAGTAAGTGAGCTTCGTTTCCTGCCAGCTTCCTCTAGACGGGACTCAGATGAGGGTGGCCTCCTGGCCTCAGACATGGTGTGACCTGGGGAGTAACAGAGTCCTGCAGCGTTTCAGTGGCCTCCGGGACAGGCAGGGACCCGCCTTGTGGTGCCAGGTGAGCACAGAGGAGGGAGCCGCGAGGAGGAGTGCAGGTAAGGCTCCTGGTGCACACGATCACCGGGGGACCAGGACCCTGACAGCCCATGGAGAGCACTGCAGGGAGGGTGGGCGTGTACCTGGGCGCAGGCCCTGGGATTGTATGAGGGACGCGTGCTGGGGCCACCGGCCGTGAGCGGAGCTTAGAGGGGGAGAGCTCCTCACAGGGGCCCCTCCACCCGCAGCCGCGGCTCTGAGACCGTGGCTTCTGCGTGGGAAGCGCCAGCTCAGAAGCTTAGCGATGGCGACGGGAGGCGGGGCCTGGCTCCGGGAAGGGAGGTAGGGCAGGCCCGGGAGGTGGGAGGAGGCTGGGGTCAGGGCAGGCCCATCCACCGAACAGCTGCCGTCTCCCGTGTCCCTCAGGTCCCAACACCCGCGTGGTGGCGGTTGGCACGGCGCAGGCGCAGTAGGGACGGGAGGACCCAGCTCCTCACTTTCAGTCGCCAACTCCTCTCCACAAGCAAGTGACCTGCCAGGTCTTCTCAGCAAGCGCACATCCTGGGGATGGGAAACTAGGGAAGAGGAAAGAGGAAAGTGAAATTGGGCCATTTTGGCATTTGTCCTCCCCGCTCCCTCCCCCGTTAGCACCACCTTCGCTTTGAACTGGCGGGGCCACTCCGTCGGGGGAGGGGCAGTGGGGCCAGCGGTGGCCACGCTGTCACTCATTTCTCACTCTCAGAAGTGGGGGAGCCTCTTCCCCAGTGTCACGTGACTTCCTGAGGAGAGCCGGGGGCGGGGGGGGGGGGACTAGAATGACGGGAGGAACACCGTTGGCAGAGCGGCTTCCAGCAGTGTCCCCTTGGCGCTGCCACCAGCCAGGAGGGTGTGCCCATCCTGCCGACGGCTGAGTCACTGCTGACTCGATGACGAGATGGCCTGGGTTCAGTTTGCATCTCTGGTGTGTGGCAGCCGGACATCTTCCCATCCGGCAGGTGTGTCTCCTCTTGTGGGTTGTGGGTGTCGATCGCGCTCACGTACTGGGTCTGGTGCATCTGTATGAGCTCGTTGTACATTAAAGACATTAACCTGTCGTGTGTCACACGTGCTGCACGCTTCCGGCCTTTTCCTTCCGTGGGTGTGTTTTACTGCAGTTCCAACTTCTTGTCTCTGGCCGACCCACTCCCTCCCTCGCTGTGCCCCCTGCATGTAGCAGGCAGGCTGCTCCCCTGCTCACGCTGTGTCACTGCTGCACCAGCGTCCTCCGGCACATAGTAGGTGCCCAGTGACCTGTCAGATTGTCGCCCCAGTGGGGGTGCTGGGGATCCCTCAGTGATAAACAGGCCGTCCTCAAGCCTGGGCCCCCGACTCCCTGAGAACCGTTAAAATCACTGAGGACCCGAAAGAGCTTTTGCTTAAGTTGGTTTTGTGAATATCATGTAATAAAACGGAGGATACTTTAATATATTAAAAAAACAACTCGCTGATGCCCACGCAAATAGCACATTTCCCCAAACAAAGCATCGAGAAGAGTGGCGTCGCTTTTCATGTTTGCAAAGTGATGTCTGGCTTAGCAGGCGACAGCTGGCGCCTCACCCGCTTCTGCACGATCACACATACGCAGCCTCTGAAAACCCCACTGTTCCCCGCGAGACTGGGAAGGCCAGGGTGTTCCAGTGTCACCCGAAAACCTGTCCACCCTCCACACCCCGACGTGGCTGTGCGGGCCGCTGCTGGGCGGAGGAGAGGGGACCGCTGCCCAGAGCGCCCGGGGCCTGCGTGGTCTGTCTTCCCTCCGAGTTCACACGCTCACTTCTGGAGCTGCTGGCCTGTGAGCAGGAGGAGGCTCTAATGGACTTTGCCTCAGCTATTCCAGCAAATACCCTGAGCTCAGGGGTCCCTTCCCTTCCTGTTGGCTGTGTGCCCTTCGTCACAGCGGAGACCCCCCCTCTTAGAGGCCCGGCTCTGTGAGCTGTTGCTCGGCTTGTCCCCCAGTCCCTCCCTTTTGAAAGTGACGTCAGTTTATAATTTGTGTTCCTATCTAGTGGGGTCCCCTCTTGAGGGTTCTTTGCTGTTCTCACCAGATGAACTTGAAGAGTTAATTCTAAGGTTTCCCACCATCTTGGTAACAGGTGTGGGGCTGCGCAGGGCGGAGCCTGTAGGACGGGGCGGCCCCTCCTTCCCACCAATGGTCTTCTCAGACTGGCTGCTCTGGGCCCCGGGGGTGGGGGGGGGGCATAGCTGCCCCATCTGCTGTCCCGCAGGGGAAGTCCGTGTGCGCAGGGCCCTCCTGCTGGCCCAGACGGCTGCTCCTAAGAGGTAACAGGTGTGGGGCTGCGCAGGGCGGAGCCTGTAGGATGGGGCGGCCTCTCTTTCCCACCAATGGGCTTCTCAGACTGGCTGCTCTGGGGGGCGGGGCATAGCTGCCCCATCTGCTGTCCCGCAGGCGAAGTCTATGTGTGGCAGGGCCCTCCTGCTGGCCCCGACGGCTGCTCCTAAGAGGTTCCCAAGACCTGGCCCCCTCTGCCTGAGGGTGGAGGTGCAGAGCGACCCCCCCCCCCCCCAGTTTGGGGCTGGAGGCCAGAAGCCTGGGCGGGACCAGGGCTCCGTCCTCAGTGGCTGCGCAGCCCCACTCTCTCCTGAGTCCCACGCGCCCAGGCTGCTGGGAGAAGCCCCGGAGGGATCTGTGTCCCAGGCCAGGCACCTGGCTGCCATCCTTCCCGTCCCACCTTCTCCCTGAGCGAGGCCCTGGTGCTCCGCCCACACTCGGTCCGAGCTGTTCCCACCACCACTGCCTCTGCGCTCTCCCTGCCTCCTCCCCGCTCAGCCCCGTGTCAAGACGAGGTCAGATGTTCCTCCTGTCCAGGCCCCCAGCACGGGGCTGGCCTGGGGCCGCGGCTGAGCTCCCACCCCCCACGCACGCAGCTTCCTCTCGGAGAGGTCGTCACTGTCGGCTCCTACTGAGCTCCCGTGTGTGTCCTCCACCGACTGCTCCCGAGGGCAGCGCTGACGTCGGGGCCAGCGTGTCCCTGCCCGGCCCAGGGCCTGGCAGAGCAGCTGCTTGGGGAAGGCACGGTGGTGACGGGAGGGCTGAGTCCCTGAGCTCCCACCCCCCACGCACGCAGCTTCCTCTCGGAGAGGTCGTCACTGTCGGCTCCTACTGAGCTCCCGTGTGTGTCCTCCACCGACTGCTCCCGAGGGCAGCGCTGACGTCGGGGCCAGCGTGTCCCTGCCCGGCCCAGGGCCTGGCAGAGCAGCTGCTTGGGGAAGGCACGGTGGTGACGGGAGGGCTGAGTCCCAGACCCACAGCACACAGGGCCGTCACAGGGCCCCTGCTGGACCCCAGGCTGTGGCGGCAACACAGACCGCCCTCGGGGACACGTCCCGGGGGAGAGCAGCGAGCCCGCTGCCCTCATAGAAGGGGACAAGGTGGGCGTGGTGGTCGGTGGTGGCTTCGCTCTTAAGCACCCTCTCCTAAGCACCCCGCTCCCAAGCACCCCCTCCTGAGCACCCCCCTCCTGAGCACCCCGCTCCTAAGCACCCCCCTCCTGAGCATCCCTCTCCTAAGCACCCCCTCCTAAGCACCCCGCTCCTAAGCACCCTCCTCCTGAGCACCCCTCCTAAGCACCCCGCTCCTGAGCACCCCTCCTAAGCACCCGCTCCCGAGCACCCCCTCCTGAGCACCCCCTCCTAAGCACCCTGTTCCTAAGCACCCCGCTCCTAAGCACCCCTCCTAAGCACCCCGCTCCTAAGCACCCCTCCTGAGCACCCCGCTGCACATCACGAACCAGACTCTGTACCGGGGGAGGGAGCTCACATGCAGTGAAACCGTCTCCTTACACACGCCATTTGGTGAGTCTGAAAAGTGGGTGCGCCACGATAGCCCCAGTGAGATTCAGAACATCACCCAGAGGGTCCCCCAGAGCCCTCCCTCGGCCTAGAAACTGTCCATTCCCAAGGCACAAAGACGCCCTGTCATTTCCTCTAAAAAAATAATAGTACTTAAAAAAAATTTAAAAATATGTTTTTATTGATTTTGAGAGAGAGAGGAAGGGAGAGGGATAGAGAAACACTGACGAGAGAGAAACATCCTCGATCGGCTGCCTCCCCCCCGCCCCACTGGGGATGTGCCCGCAACCAAGGTACATGCCCTTGACTGGAATCG